CTGAAGCATGAGCTGTAACAGAATTTTCTGCTGCACAGAAAGAGCTGCTCCTTATTTACTCGGCACATTTTCATTGTATCTACTGATGCCAAGTATTGAATGGCGCTCAGTGGTACAGTGGTGAGGAAAAATAGACACCTAGTCCTGTAATAATTTTGAAAATGCTATTATTTGAGAAGTATGGAAAATATATTTTAAAAAGTAGGTAACACTTATCATCCCATCACTTAAAAACAACATACAGAATAAGAATGCTAAGATATTCCTTCTCAAGCACCCGCGGTTCCTCCCCAATATGCCCACTTGGTTTGATAGAGACAGCCCAGGACTTCTCTGCTTAGGAAGGTCTGTCTGTAGACAGGTGCACACAAGTTGCTCTTCATTTTGAACAGAGTGGGATTCTACTGTGTGTTTACTCTACAGCTTTTAGAAATTCAGTTAATATGCCATAGACATTTTTTCCTTATGGTATCCCATGTGTAATCCAAGCCATAATTAACTTAGTTCCTTATTTGTCAAAATTTAGGTTTCTGACCTTTTACAGTTATAAACAGTGCTCCAGGGACTAGCTCCGTATGGGCAGCTTCAGCCTGCATGCAGGTATACTCTGTTTCTGTAGGGGGGATTGCTCGTGTTCACATGTGACACTTAATAGGTCCTAATAAAGACAATAAAAAATGGGCAAAGGATCTGAATAGACATTTCTTCAAAGATGATTTATAGATGGCCAATAAGCACATGAAAAAATGCTTGACATCATTAGTCATCTAGGAAATGCAAATCAAAACTGCTAGGATGTCTGTAACATAAAAAGACAGTAATAAGAGTCGGTGAAGATGTGGAGAAATTGGAACCTCACACACTGCTGGTGGGAGTGTAAAATGATGCAGCCTCTCTGGAAAACAGTCTGGCAGTTGCTCAAACAGTTAACATAAAGCTACTGTATAACCCAGCCATTCTCCTAGGTATATACCCAAGGGAACTGAAAATTGGTCCACATGAAAACTTAGACACAAATGTCTATAGCAGTGTTATTTACAGTAGCCAAAAGAAAGAAACCCACATGTCCATCAGCTGATAGATGGTTAAGGTAAGTGTGGTCTCTCCACAAACGAATATTATTCAGCCATAAAAAGGAATGAAGTTCTGACACCTACAATATGGATGAACCTTGAAAGTATTATACTCAGTGGTAGAAGCCAGACACAAAGGACCGCATATTGTAGGATTCTTTTCATACGAAATATCCTGAGTAAGCAAATCTGTAGAGATAGAAAGCAGATTAATGGTGGCCTGGGGCCGGCAGCAGAGGGCAGGATGGGAAGGGATGAGAGATGGAAGTACTAGGGAGAGGGTGGTGGTTAAGGGGCACATGATTTCTTTTTAGGGTGAGGAGAGTGTTCTGAAATTGATTATGGTGATGGTTGCATGCCAGTGAGTTAACTGTGAGTGGGTGAATTGCACGGTAAGTGAATTTGTCTTAATAAAGTTGTTAAAAAGTGCAGTGGGGTTGAAATAGTAAGTCTTAACAGATTCCCACTAGAAAGGTTGTCTCTTTTGCCTCCCCGCCCCCCTGCCAGTAATATGTGAAGGTGCCCACTTTTTCATGTCCTCACCAAGCCCTGAAAGTTACTTGTCTTACGTTTTTGCCAGTGTGGTGGGAGAAAAGTGGCATCTGTTTTGGTTTATACTTACTAGTGAGGTTGAACATTTAAAAATGCATTTATTGGCCATTTGTATTTATTTTATGATTTTTCTCTTGGGGGGGTCCAACTGGATATTTTAGCATAATAAAATGTTAACATGCTATCTTTCTTTGAAAAAAGAATTTGGGGGCACCTGGGTGGCTCAGTCAGTGAAGTGTCTGACTCTTGGTTTGCTCAGGTCATGATCTCGGGGTCGTGAGGTTGAGCTCAGGCTCCGCACTGAGCGTGGAGCTTGCTTGAGATTCTCTCCCTCTCCCCTTCCCCCACATTCTGTGCTCACACTCCCAATAAATAAATAAATAAATGTGCCAGCTCATAGACTTAAAAAAAAAAAAGGATTTGGGAACGGTACCCTTACATGGTAAAACTAGACATGAGACTGAGGGGGTACAGGAGCCTGCCTGCCCCCTTTGCCTCGGTCTCCTGGTCTCTCCCCACGGCTGCTCCTCAGCCCGCCCACCCTCCCTCCCTTCCTTCCTTCTCTTTCTCTTTCTTTCTCTCTCTCTGTCTCTCGGAGATTGTTCTGTATTAGTGTATGTTAATCTCTCTCTCTTTTCTTCGTGGCGGCACAGCATTTCCTTGTAGGGACGAATCAGAGTCGTTGGAAGTGAGTCGTTGCCAGCCTCTGGCTGTCACACACAGTGCTGTGGAGACTCTGCACATACATCTCTGCACACGCGTGTGACCACATCTGTCCAGTTCAGTACCGAAGGTAGAATGTTGCATGGAATGTGAGTACAGTCTTAACATAGGGTTGCCCACTTGCCACCTGAAGAGCAAATTGTACCAATTTATACTCTTTCCACAGCAGCAAGAATTATGAATCTTAAATTTGAAGTACTTTCAACATATAGAAAACTACGGAGGATGATACTAATACAACCCACATGACCCCAGAGTGACCCCTAAACAGATGTTGATCTGCAGCTTTCCTTCTCCTGGTTTTATGCTTGTGCCACGCACTGTGTGTCCTTAAGGAAGGCACAGGTTGTTTGATATATTTTAAAGATTTATGTAAATAATGTGTCAGACTGTGTCATTTGACAGAGTGCCAGTGCGTGGGGGCCTGGTTCACTCATTTTGACAGCTCTCTACGTATTGAATGTATGAGTATTTTACGTTTATCCATTCGTCTTTTAGTGGACATTTCACATGTGTCTACTTTGCTATTCCTGACAGGGCTGTGGTTCCCATTTTTTACCTGTCTTCTTGAGCATGTAGAAGGGATTTTAAAGAAATCAGGATGTATTCTTCAAAGTAGAACTTTTGGTGTGTAGGGTAGGGTGATCTTGACTGGAGAGTATTAACTTACTTTCCTCCATAGTCATCCTGATTGACGTTCTGATAGTATTTTATAGCTCTCTTCTCCACACCCTCAGGAACACTTGGTACCTGGTATCAGATGAGCTGTCTCCTATTGATTTTTGCCTTTCCCGGATTTCTGGTGAGGTTGAGCATCTTTTCTTATATTTGTCAGCCATTTGGGCTTCTTTGCTGCAAATAATTATTCTTTGAAGTAATTCCACTTACACAGACTAGGCACCCTTAAGACCTAACATAGGGTCAAGAATAGATGGGTAAGAGCTCAAACCTGTAAAAAGCATAACCTCGGCTTCTGAGTTTAGAATTTTATTTTATGTATTTATTTATTTTAAAATTTTTTATTTAAACTCAATTAGCCAACATATAGTACATCATTAGTTTCGTATGTAGTGTTCAGTAACTTATCAGTTGTATATAACACCCAGTGCTCATCATATCACGTGCCCTACTATGTATTTTTTTTTTTAAGATTTATTTATTTTAAGAGAGAGAACATGGTGCACGTGCAAGGGGCAGAGGGAGAGAGAGAATCTCAAGTAGATTTCGCTGAGTGCAGAGCCTGACGTGGGGCTCAGTCTCATGACCCTGAGATCATGACCTGAGCTGAAATCACAAGTCATATGCTTAACCGACTGAACCCCACCAGGCACCCCTAGAATTTTATTTTATTTATTTTTATTTATTTATATATTTTTTGAAGTTTTTTTTTTAAAGATTTATTTATTTATTTATTTATTTATTTGAGAGAGAGAATGAGCCGGGAGGAGAGGGAGAGGGAGAAGCAGACTCCTGGCTGAGCAGGGAGCCTGATGCGGGACTCGATCTCGAGATTCCGGGATCATGACCTGAGCTGAAGGCAGACACTTAACTGACTGAGCCACCCAGGCGCCCTAGAATTTGATTTTAAATTAGGTAGAACTGGGGCACCTGGGTGGCTCAGTTGGTTAAGCGACTGCCTTTGGCTCGGGTCATGATCCCAGAGTCCTGGGATCGAGTCCCACATCGGGCTCCCGGCTCAGTGAGGAGCCTGCTTCTCCCTCTGACCCTATCCCCTCTCCTGCTTTCCCTCTCTCTCTCTCTCTCTCTCTCAAATAAATAAATAAAATCTTAAAAAAATATATATTAGGTAGAACTAGAAGTCATGAGAGACATTCACATTGGAAAACATACTGGAAAATCAGAGATTTTATTTATTTTTTATTTTTTTATTTTTTAAAGGTTTTATTTATTTATTTGAGAGAGAGAGAGAGCACGAGAGGGAAGAGGGTCAGAGGGAGGAGCAGACTCTCCGCCGAGCAGGGACTCAATCCCGGGACTCCAGAATCATGACCTCAGCCGAAGGCAGTCGCTTAACCAACTGAGCCACCCAGGCGCCCCGAAAATCAGAGATTTTAGATCATTTATCTACCATGCAGATTATGCCCTCATTTGGTACCTTTACTCCCCAGTTGGGAATGAGATTGTGTGTTGTGGGCAACTTGTATTTAACAAACTGAGCCACCCAGGCGCTCCCCCTTTTTTTTTTTAAAGATTTTATTTATTGGGCAACTTGTATTTAGAGGAAACAAATTATATTGGATTTCTTTCAGAAAATTTTTAAAATTTTAAAATTCTGAAATGATTTCAGACTTAAAGAAATGTCAAAATAATACAGAGAATTTGTGTATCTTCACTAGATTGCCCAGTATTAACATTTATTATTATTAACATTTCATCTCATTTTCTTTATTAGTCTCTATATACATACTGTCTTTTTGGGACCATTGGATAGTAAGTTGCTGACATAATGTAATGCCGTTTTCTTCCTAAATACTTTATTTAGTATGTATTTCCTGAAAACAGTTTTGTCTTCATGATCACATACAGTGATCAAATTCAGGAAATCAACTATGAGATCTCCCCCTAGCACTAATCAGGAGTAGAAGGTGTTGGGCAGTTCGCCATGATTGCTTTGGCATTGGGGGGCAGGGGTGGGGGGGCTGGCGGGCATGGCTGGGAGCATGTGGCTAATGGGCCACGTTTTTCCATTGCTGGGGAATCCGTGTGGCTAACCCTGCACGGCTTCTCCTCTGCTCCTCATTTCCTGCAAATTTCCTCCTCTCAGTCAGGGTTAGACCTGAGGGAGCCAGAGGGCCGGGCCCACCGGTCTCCCGAGCTGGCCCTCCAGAGCCAGGCCCCATTCCTGGAGATGGGGGACTGCAGGAGGCTGGGCTCCCTGTGCTCCGCAAGGATAGGAGAGGGCTGTAGCTGCCTCCCTTCCACCCCATTCCCTTCCTGCTGGCGGGGCAGGATGATCTGGGCGTGGTTAGGCCTCTTAGGGGACAGCTGAGCTGATCGCCTGGCCCCCACGTGACAAGTGTGCCCGCCATCCTCTTGGGCCACAGTCTCCGAAGCTTTGATCATGCTTTCCTGTCAGAGTGAGTTTTGATCATGTACGTCTCTAGGAATATGTTATGTACATTACAAAATAGGAAGAAAACCCCCCAAAATGTAAAGGATAAACAAATTCTAGTATTTTCTTCCCTCACCTCGGGGACCTTGTTCTTGGTTCTGTTTTCTTCCTCATTTACTCACTAAGGGATAGTATTACTGCTTTTTCCCCCTTTAGCTGTAATCTGAGGTTGAAGACTTCTGGGCTTAAAAACGTGATAGTTAAAACCCTACAGTGAAGATGGTGTTTCTTTCCCCCCGCCCCCGCCCGGTTTTACCGAGATGTAAACACAGACCTCCCTGTAGAAGCTGAGGGAATGCAGCGCACTGCTGTCACTCAGCGTGTTGTGAAGTGATGACCACACCCCGTCTGGTGAGTGTCCATTGTCTCATGTAGATGCGGGCACAGAGAGGGAGTGTTTCCTTGTGGCCAGAGCTCTGGATTTACCCTCCGAACAGCTTCCGTGTTTATCATGTGGCCGTGCTTGCCGCGGTCGTCATGTTGTATCTTACAACCAGAAGTTTGTGCCTTTTGACTGCCTTCACTTTCCCCTTCCAGACCCCTCTAGAAGTGATAAAGGCTGAAGGTTTTAGAGCTGATTTCTAACCAGAGCTCTTGGAAATGGGGGATTATAGAAAGTAAAGCTCAGTTAAGGTCTTGTAAAGATGCAGTTTTTTCGGGGCGCCTGGGTGGCTCAGTCATTAAACATCTGCCTTCGGCTCAGGTCATGATCCCAGGGTCCTGGGATTGAGCCCCGCATCGGGCTCCCTGCTCCGCTGGGAGCCTGCTTCTCCCTCCCCCGCTTCCCCTGCTTGTGTTCCTGCTCTCGTTATCTGTCTCTCTGTTGAATAAATAAATAAAACCTTAAAAAAAAAAAACAGTTTTTTCTACCAGAGGACGTGTGATAATCACCTTCTATACTAGGCTCAACCAAGACTGTCATAGGCTTTCTTTTTTTTTTTTTTAAGACTTTTATTTATTTGCCAGAGGGAGAGCACAAGCAGGGGGAGTGGCAGGCGGAGGGAGAAGCAGGCTCCATGCTAAGCAAGGAGCCCAATGCGGGACTCGATCCCAGAACCCCGAGATCATGACCCGAGCTGAAGGCAGACGCATAACCATCTGAGCCACCCAGGCGCCCCCTTTTTTTTCTTTTAAGATTTTATTTGTTTGACAGAGACACAGTGAGAGAGGCAACACAAGCAGGGGGAGTGGGAGAGGGAGAAGCAGGCTCCCCACCTAGCAGGGAGCCCGATGCAGGGCCCGATGGATCATGACCTGAGCCGAAGGCAGACGCCTGATGGCTGAGCCACCCAGGCGCCCCAGTCATAGATTTTCAAAATAGGGGAAAGTGTGCATAAGTAAATGTTTATCATACAGTGTTATATATCTGCTATAAAAGAATTAGGAAGTACAGGGAAACACAAAGAAAGCCAGAACTGCTCATAATCCCGTCACCCAGAGATAGCATGTTTTAACACCCTGACAAGGGTCCTCCTGGTTTAACAGATATTTTAAGTCCGAGTAGAGTCCCATTATACAGAATGTTTTGTATTACACTTTTTTTCCTTTTAACGATGTCCTGTGCACCCCCTTCCATGTTAATACGTACACTTGGACGGAATGGTCATATAAGTGGGGGAGTGGTATTCCACTCTATAGATGTGTTCCCCCTTCACTAATTCCTGATTTTACGTTCTTCCTAGTTCTCACGATACTAAATGCTGCTGGGAAAATCCTAAATGTTAGCGTATGTCTTTAATTCTTTCTTAAGGTTAAATCCCTAGCAATGGAATTGCTGGGTCAAAGGGGTGTGCACGTTTACTGTTTCCCCTCCAGAGCACTGAGCTCCAGTGGTCCAGCCCTCAGACCCCGGAGTGCGTGGTTGAAGCTTTTAAAATGGAAAGTTTATTGTCTTTTCCACTTTCAAAGTAAGTGTGCTCGTGGTAGTAAATTTAGAGAATATAGAGGATTAGGAAGATGGGGAAAATCCCCCTATCCTACTGCTTAGAAATAATATTAACAGTTTGGGCACACTTTCTTCTAGTGTTATACACATTTTTGTCTGTCTTGTTTTGCTGCTGTTGTAATATAGGTACAGTGTTGTATCATGGTCCTTTTTTTTAATCTTTTATTTTTAAAATACTTTTTCTAGTCTTCTTGAGATACAATTGACATATAACATTATATAAGTAAGGTGTACAACATAATGATTTGAATTTAGTATACGTTGTGAAATGAATACCACAATAAGGTTTTGGGTTTTTTTTAAGATTTTATTTTATTTATTTGACAGGGAGAGACAGCGAGAGAGGGAACACAAGCAGGGGGAATGGGAGAGGGAGAAGCAGGCCTCCCTCAGAGCAGGGAGCCCGATGCAGGGCTGGATCCCATGGCCCTGGGATCATGACCTGAGCTGAAGGCAGACGCTTAACGACTGAGCCACCCAGGCGCCCCCACAGTAAGTTTAGTCAACACCCATCACCTCTCATAGTTAAAAAGTTTTTCCTTTTTAAAGAGCTTTTTTTTTAAAAAAGATTTTATTTATTTATTTGACAGAGCGAGACAGTGAGAGAGGGAACACAAGCAGGGGGAGCGGGAGAGGGAGAAGCAGTCTCTCCACTGAGCAGGGAGCCCGATGCGGGACTCGATCCCAGAATCCTGGGATCATGACCTGAGCCAAAGGCAGATGTTTAACGACTGAGCCACCCAGGTGCCCTTTTTTAAAGAGCTTCTTAAACAATGATTGGGTAACTTCCTTGTGCCTTTCCATGAACCTGTAAAAGTGTATCAACAAGTAAACTCTGAAAAATATTTTAAAATATAAAACTTCTCTTAAATCCTCAATAGTAATGGTATTATAGGGAAATTTTCCTATAACTTATGAATGTGAACAAGCACACCTCATTTTATTGTGCTTCACTTTATTGCATTTCACAGATACTGCGTTTTTTACAGATGGAAGGTTTGTAGAGACCTTGTATCGAGCAAGTCTACAGGTGCCATTTTTCCAACAGCATTCACTCACTTTGTGTCTCTGTGTCACATTTTGGTAATTCTTGCAACAGTTCAAACTTTTTCATTATTGTCTTTTTTTTTTTAAAGATTTTATTTATTCATTTGAGAGAGAGGGCAGAGAGAGCACATGAACAGGGGGAAGGGCAGAGGGAAAGGGAGATGCAGAAGCAGACTCCCTACCTAGCAGAGAGCCCAATGCATCTCGATCCCAGAGGGATCACGACCTGAGCCAAGGCACGAGCCTAACCCACTGAGCCACCCAGGCGCCTCTGTTGTCGTATTTGTTACGGTGATCTGTGATCAGTGATTATGACTTGCTGAAAAGTCAGATGGTAGCATTTTTTAGCAATAAAGTTTATCTTTTTCAAGTAAGCTCTACGCTGAACATGGGGCTTGAACTCATGACCCTGAGTTCATGCTCTACTGACTGAGCCAGCCAGGTGCCCCCATAAAGTATTTTATTTCTTTAAGGTATATACATTGTTTTCTTAGACATAATGCTGTGGCACACTTAATAAGACCATGGTATAGTGTAAATATAACTTTTATATGCACTGGCAAACCAAAAAACTTCCTTTGGCCTGTGTTATTGTGGTACTTTATCGTGGGGGGGTCTGGAGCTGAGCCTGCAGTGTCTGAGGCCTGTACAGTGCATGTTGTTTTCATGATTTAAAAACACGTATGAAAGTAATATAACTTACAGGCTTAAACAAAGCCAAACAATAACATTTAGAGGATAATTAATCAAAAATCTAGAAATAAGCATTAAAAAACCTCTAAGTTTTCTTACATCGCCTCCTCCCCCCAGAGTGTTAACAGCTGTGAATAGATTTCTCCATGAATGGAATCCTGCTACATAAATGGGATCCATCTACTTCTGCAGTGTGTTTTTAAATGTTAGCAAAATATCACAAACTTATTTTCACATGCGTACAGAGAAACCTGCCTCATTCTTCCTGATCCAGTACTTGATAGTAGCGATGCGCCATAATTTGAATAATTTCACACAGAAATGAGTGCACTAGTTTCTTGCTTTTAACAATTTACCGTAAAGTTGGTGGGCTTAAAACACAGAAATTTATTTTCTCACAGTTCTGGACGCCAGAATTCCAGAACCAAGTCATCAGCGGGGCCACAGTACCTCCAGAGGCTTTGGGAGGAATGCTTGCATTTGGCTTTGAGCTCTTGTTGGCTCCTGGTGTTTCTGGCTTCTAGATGCATCCCTCCAATCTCTGCCTCTGTCTTCTCATGCCATTTCCCCCACGTGTCCGTGTCGTCTTCTCTTCTTCATGAGGACACTTTATACCTTTGATACCATAAAGACGTATCATGGTCCTTTCAAAAACTTGGTTCTACCAATTATTTGTAAGCGCCAGCATTAAGGTAATAACATGGCTGCCTCTGCCCGCATTCACAAGGTCTCCAGGTTTTCATTATTGCAGATACGTTCTACTGAAAACCTGTGTCACAAAAGCTTTCTCTGCTTGGAGTTATTTCTTTAGGAGAGAGTCACAGAAGTGGAGTTAACTGTGCAGAAGACTATAGGTACATTTTAGGGCTTTGGGTAAAAATGACCAGACTCATCTTCAGAAGGATGGTGCTCTGGTGGTGGTTATGATTTTTAAAGGCTGCTTCTCTAGTGCATCTGTTGTCTCCAGTTTTCTCTGGTGGAGAGAAGTGAGGCGGGCCTGCCCAGGTGGGAAGGGTGAAGGCTGGGCTGTGGCCCCAGTGGCCTGCAGTGTGCCCTTCCCCAGCTGGAGCCCGTGACCGCCGATCCCGGAAGGATCTGCCTGCGGGGCGTGGGGCCCGAGAGCTGCTGCAGCCACCAGGTGGCTGGAATCCTGCCACTGAGCCCCTCCCCAGCGCCCCCCCCTATCCTAAAGGACAGTGAGGGCCCTTACAGGCCCTCCCCTCTTTCTGGCGCAGATGTGGGGTTGTGGAGGGCCCGGGGCGCTGAGACCCCCGTGCATGTCCTAGCTGGGGTCTAGAGCCCACGTGAGGGAACAAGAGTGAGTGCCTTACAGGGGAAGTGCCCAGCTCCTGAACTTCCATGAACTTTCACAGGGAGTCAGAGTGGACACAAGAGACCACAGTGGAGCCACAGCCCGGATGCTGGCCAAGCAGTATGGACACATGAAGATCGTGGGGTTGATAGACGCTCACTCGCCTTCTCTGCCCAAGAACCTCTATCGGAGCCCAGGTACCTGCTCCTGTGCTGCTGGGTCTTCTGCTAGGGTCCTGCTGCCGGCTCCCACCGGCCCTGCTGAAGTGTGGCTCCTGCGGCCTCGCCAGGGGGCCCCTGCCTTCCCCGTGACTCCACGGGGCAGTCAGGGTTGAGGCTAGCTGGTCTGACAGGACAGAGATCCGTCAGTGTGGAGTGGGACCAGCCAGGCTGAAGGTGTGCCCAGGATGCTGGCGGAGGCCACGGAGAGGTGGGCGCGCAGCCTCCAGACGGGACTGCTTACAGCTGTTGTTTCTTGACTTGGCTTAGGGTGCCCATTGCCATACGAAATATTTTAATTTTGTATAGTCACATTCATCAGTCTTTTATTGCTTTTAGATTTGGGGTCACAGAAGATCTTTCCCTGTTTCCTGGTTGTACAAGAATTCGCCCATTTTCTTCTGGTACTTACATGGTTTCATTTTTTATGTTTAGATCTCTGATCCTTTGTACTTTATTTTGTCATGCGTGGTGTGAGGTGTGGTGTTCTCAGATGGCTTCCCCATTGTCCTGGCTTCATTAAACTATATAACAGTTCATCTTTGACCTAGTGATCTGAGAGGCTGTCTTTGTCAGTATTCTGAATTTCCACCTGTGCCCAGGTCTGTTTCTGGACTTGCTATTCTGTTCCCCGGGTCTGTCTGTCCACACACCAGACCCACACTGTTGTCAGCTTGCAGAGGCTTTTTGTAGTACATTGGACTGTCCGGTCAGCCAGTCCCCCTGCAGCTTTCCCTTTTCAGTGTTCCCTAGTATTGCTCGTGTATTTTTCTGTGTAAACTTGAACATCAGCTTGTCTAGCTGCTTGGAAACAGCGTGTTATTGAGACTGTGGCAGATTTATAAATCAACTACCCCTTTATGCTTTTGAGTCGTCCTCTGTAACAAGGGATGTCTTTTGTTCAAGTGTACTCCTGTGTCTACAGGAGGGTGTAAAATTTTTCCTCCTAGACATTGTGCATATAACTTTTTTTCTTCCTAAGTGTCTGACTTTCTTTGTTGCTGTTGTAAATGGGGTTTCACTGCCTTCACGTCCTCTGCCTATTGTGTGTGAGTGTGAAGGCTGTTGGTGTCTGCTTTCCAGTTTCATTTTATTTATTTTATTTTATTTATTTGACAGAGAGAGAGAGAGAGAGAGAGAGCAGGAGCACAAGCAGGGGGAGTGGGAGAGGGAGAAGCAGGCTTCCCGTGGAGCAGGGAGCCCGATGCGGGGCTCGATCCCAGGACCCTGGGATCATGACCTGAGCCGAAAGCAGATGCTTAACTGACTGAGCCCCCCAGGCGCCGCTGCTTGCCAGTTTTATATTCTGCTGTTCTACTGAATTCTTTCATTGCTTGAATTTATTGAGTTTCCAGGGTTTTCCAGGTATGCTACCAGACAGTCTGCCGAGAGATAGATTTACTGCTTCTTTCTGACTTGTGTACCTCTGATTTCTTTCATTTAGTTGCATTGGCTAATACTTCTTGTAAGGGGTTGAATGTGTTGGGGAGAGTGGGCATGCACCTCGTCCTAACCTTAGTGGAAATGCCACCTTAGGTGAGATGCTGGCTTTAAGGGTAAGGTGTACATGTCTTCTATCATGTTAAGAAAGTATCTGGCATTTTTCTGTATTCGTGACCGTTTTTTACAGGAATAAGTGTAGAATTTTGTCAAAGGCTTTTTCAGCATCTACAAAGACAATTGTTAATTTTCTCTTTAGGGGCGCCTGAGTGGCTCAGTCGTTAAGCGCCTGCCTTCGGCTCAGGTCATGATCCCAGAGTCCTGGGATCGAGCCCCGCATCAGGCTCCCTGCTCCACGGGAAGCCTGCTTCTCCCTCTCCCACTCCCTCCGCTTGTTCCCTCTTTCGCTGTGTCTCTGTCAAATAAATAAATAAAATCTTAAAAAAAAATTTTTTTTTTCTCTTTAGATCTACTAATAGAGTATATTAGTGAATTTCCTAATAATGAACCAACTTTATGTTGTTGGTATAAATCCGATGTGGTGTATTATTTTCTTAAAGTGATGTGGATTCTGTTTGCCAGTATTTTATTCAGTGTTTCTGTATGGCTATTCATTTATAAATGATACTGGTTTGTGATTCTGTTTTATCGGGTGTAGGCATCAGTGTATCTCATACAGAGAATTTGAGTTTTCTTTCTTTTTTTGTGCTCTGGAACAATTTATACAGCATGGATGCCCCGTGATTTTTGAAGGTTTGGCAGGATTCTGTGAAACCATCTGGACCTGGTCTTTGTGGGATGTGTTTCTGTTTCTTTCATAGAAATTGGTCTGCTTATGCTTTCTCATGTTTCATGGGGGCCAGGTATGGTAAACTGCATTTTCCTAGGAAATCCTTTTCTGCAGGATTTCAACTTCAACTCTCATAGAGGTGTGCAGAACCATTTCTCTGTCTCCTTCTACAAAGTTCCAGTGGTTATTTTCCTGTGTCGTTGCAGTCTTGCCCGCCTCCCGACTCAACCCTCTCTCTCCCCTTTCTTGTTCAGTCTTTGGTGGTTTTCTCATTTTTCCTGCAGTACTGCTTTTCCACTCAAATGTCTTCTGCCTTGAGCACCTCGTGACTGGGTCTTCATTTAAAAAAATTTGACCTTTATTTTGTTTTTTGTTTTTTAGCAGTTTACAAGCTTCTCAGAGGTCATCACTTGCATTCTTTTTTTTTTTTTTTTAAGATTTTATTTTTAAGTCATCTCTGCGCCGAACATGGGGCTCGGACTCACAACTCCGAGGTCAAGAGTTGCCTGCTCCACCGACTGAGCCAGCCAGGTGCCCTATTGACCTTTGTTTTCTCTTTCCTGAGTTCCATTTTCCTTTCTCACCATTGCGAGTGTGTGCCTGTGTCTTTCTGTTTTCTGTTTTGGATTTCTGAACCAGGATGCTTTTTCCACTCCTCCACCCTTGTTTAAGGACGTATCCGCGCAGTGTCGTGTTAGCTTTCTTCTACCTTCTACCTCTACCTCTTCTACCTCTTTCGGAGGGAGGGGCGTCTTTACTCGCCGTGGTGTTTTGCCCCCGGTTCCTGTGTCCTCTTTGGAGTAGCTGTGTGTGGAGAGGGCTGGAGCTCCGGGGCTCAGCAGCCTGGCTGGTGTGAGCGTCCTGCTTTAGGATTTCCTCCCCAGGGTCTCCAGGGGAGTCCTTGCTAGATGGGTTTTTGGGGGTTGCTTTTGTTTTTGGAGGGGGATGTAGCGAGGCCAGGGCGTGTGTGTCCTTGCTATGTTTTTGTCTTGCCCGATCCTGGAGTTCCCCCACTTGCTTTCCTGTCCACTTCTCAGTTTCCCCAAGGTGTCAGCCAGGAGTGGGGCTGTTCTGCTCCCTCATGTCCCGTGTGCATTTTTAAGTTGCTTCTCTGGGGCTGTGCTTTCCTCTGCCAGGACGATTTTTCTGCCACAGGATGGACTTTTTCTGGGGACAGCACGGCACTTCTGTCGCCTTGTCTCTCTTCGGGTGTGGCTTTCTTCGGGACCTGCTCGCTCCCTGCGGAGACTAGGTGTGCATGAGCAAGAAGTCTCTCTGCGAGAAGAGAAATGGACGTGGCTCCTCTCCATAGGAGCAAGGAACAGGGCGGTTGGGGTGCTGTCATCCCACTTCTGGGGAAGGGGTAGGATTCGCGTGGCTCTGTCTGTTGCCCTTGCTGACTTGTCAGGTTCGAGAGGATGTGCGGGGAGGTTCAGATTCACAGAGCTGCCTTTGCGTCGGTTACCCCTCTTCCCTTGTCCTTTTCTTTTTTTTTTAATGAAAAAAAATTTTTAAGTTTTTATTTATTTGACAGACTCAGTGAGAGAGGGAGCACAAGCAGGGGGAGTGGGGGAGGGAGAAGCAGACTCCCCACTGAGCAGGGAGCCCGATGCGGGGCTCGATCCCAGGACCCCGGGGTCATGACCTGAGCCGGAGGCAGACGCTTAACGACTGAGCCCCCCAGGCGCCCCTGTCCTTTTATTCTTTAGGACTCCTCCATTTTCTGCCTGGGCGGGACCACAGTCTCCTCCTGATGGTGTAGATCCTGGACCGCATGGGAGCGAGCTGAGTGGGGAAGAGGGTGACTGGCCCGGGGTCACTGGTTTGGAACCTGCCTCAATAACGCCCTCATTCGCAGGCAGTCACTGACCTGAGCTCTCCATTCACACCAGTCCACGGCCTGGCTCCCTTCCCAGGCCCGGGATCATTGGTGACAGACACCAGCTCTCAAGGGGGCAGTGGGCTGAGGGGCTCCTTCAGCATCTGAGCCCCAGTGTATCAGCCCGAGAATGAGGTCTTATCAGATGGGAGCCTTATGCAAATATGGTCATGAATGTTGCCTTCCAGGTATGATGAAAGAAGGAAAACTGGGAAAAGCTATAGGATGATAAGGGCTGTGAGCGTGTCAAGCTCTCAAACCGTGACGGGTGGCATGCGGAGTGTTTCCCCAGACCTGGCACACACCTGGCACGTGCCCCTTGTTTCCCAAGACGTGCAGGTAGAGAAGAGACAGTTGACAGAAGTTGTGACTGATATTGTCTATGTCTGTGAAGAGATGGATCTTCTTTACCATCTCAACTTGGAACAAAATTTATTTCTGGTTTTAAGTATATATTGCTATAAAAAATTCTGGAACCCAAAGAGCAGAATAAGAATTAAGACTCCCCCATCATCATGAACTTTTTCAGTTGAGACTCATGTTTAGCAGGCTTGCTTTCTCCCCAGATCTCCCCGTGGCCCCTCTGAGCAGTGGACTGGCCCATTATTTCTAGTGATGTCCTGGGAAACAGTTTTTTTTTTTTTTTTTAATCTCCTTAATGTGAGAAAACCAATTATGATGACTTTATTCCCACGTATTATGAGGGTTACTAAATTAGTCCATCACTGAACAAAATGTCTTAATTCTGGTGTTTGACCCACAGACAAATTTGAAGATCTAAGCTCTTCAGATGAATCCTGCCCTGTTCCCCAGAGACAGAGGCCCTGTCGGAAGAAGGGCCTCAGCATCCATGAGGGGCCTCGAGCCTTGGCAAGGATCACAGCCATCGGACTTGGAGGCAAGATGCAGCGGCCTTGCTGTGGTGAGTGCCCCCATGTCCTGCTGGCTCTTCGGCTCTGCCTCCACAACAGTTCTTAGCCTTCTGAAATGTGGGCCCTGGCGGGCACTGCAGCTTAGACTCGGAATTGATTAGAGGGATAAAAGACATTGATCACTGGCTAGCTTCTGGGTTCATCCTTTAATTTTCCTTTCCATGGGTTATGTTACAAATAGAATTTTCTCTCCAGTGGTGGAAATACAGCAAAGCTGGGATTTCATTTATCATGTGGTAGGTCAGCTAGTGCAGAGAAAATGTTTAAGTCTGGTCCCTGCCCACTTCACCAGCTGGAGGTGGATGTGTCTCTGGGCAGGCTGTTGCTCTCTCTTCTCAAAGTGCTAGATTGGAGAATTGTCGGATCATATACTTTGTGGGCCAGAATGAGTTTACTCTCCCATTGTCAGCGCCTCATGGTGAATGCAGGGGGCGCTGACACTCTTGCTCTGGCCCTGACCAAGTGCTCAGTCTCAGGTGTGAGTTACATCTTTGACGTCTTGTCACCCATCAGTGGCCGGGCCAATCCTGCTGGTCTAGCAAGGTGGGTGGATGGGTCCATCTCGTGAGCCAGTACCCCTGGGCTTAGAAACCGACTTTCCCAGTCAGTGGAGAGATCATGCTTCGGTCAAGAATATATAAGTTGCTCCATTGCCTCCCATGACCCTTGGAAGGAGTCTTAGTGCTGGGTTGGGAGCTCCAGGCCCACCTTTTCCCATCAGCCACAGAGGGGTGGGCTGACTGGGCCACTGGGGAAGCTGCCCCCAGCTGTGGTCAGGCTGCTGCTGGGTGAGAGCAGCATGCTCTGGGGCATGTGGCTGGTGCTTCTCTTGTGAGGAGTCCCTGCTACCCGTCCCACCTGAGGTATGGTGGGCGCACACCGGAAGATGGGTCTTACCCAGGGTGGGGGGGGTTATTAACTTGTGTTGCTCTACAACACATGCTTTTTAAAATGGAATTTGTTCGAGTTCCCAAAATAATCTGGCCGAAGCCCATTTATACAGAAATCTTTTTATGCACCCACACAGGCAGAGAAACATTCACCAAAGAATGATGCTCGTTGTCCCTTAGTTGTGCTATTTCATAATTTTGGTTTTCCTCTTATACCTTGTGATATTTAAATTCTCTATATGTGTGTATATTGTTTGCCAATGATGAAAAAACATTTTCTTGCAGGCAGATGCATTCAGAGGTTATGTAACTTGGTGTTACTGCTGTTAATCTTTAGCCTGGGGCCTCTTGCCTCCCTGCTCAGCCAGATCTGTTTAGCTGGGGCTGACTGACCCGAGGAGCAGCACCCCTAGATGTGTGTGTTGAAAAGTCACAGGGAGCATGAAAGCTGGTGTGTGTGAGATTTTGTTCCCAGCTACGAGGACCACTTAGTGGTCTGGTTTTCCTTCGCCTCAGGAACCTGTGAACACAGCTAACCGTTTCCTGCTTTGTCCACTCGGCAAAGCGGCACATGGTGTGATGGAAGGGGCGCCAGACTGGACTGGGTGCTGGTCCCCATCCAGGTGCTCTTGCTGTGGGACACAGACTGGTCCCCATGCCCCTCAGAATCTTTCTTCACCTGCAGACCGCGCAGTTGGAGCCGATGGGGGTAGTGGCCAGCTAGATAGCAGTTTTCTTTCTGCTTGCCTGAATCCTGGGCCTTCCCTCATGCCCAGATTCGTCTGGGGTGGTTGAATTTGGAAGGAGGAACTCTATCCCTTTTGTGCTCACGTGGGTGTTATGTCCCCCATTCTGTCCACAGAGCAGGTGCCTCTGCCGGGCTACGTCACCTTCAACAGCAGTGATGAGAACCCTCTGGAAGGGGGGGGCCTCTGCTACAGGGACGTCACCTCCCCGATCAATGAGCGGGATGTGGAGAGCAGCAGCGGCAGCAGTCGGGGTGTGTGGGGGGCCCTGTGGGGAGTCCCCGTGCATCACCCCTCTACCCACCCAGCGGGGGCACGGAACTGTGGCAGGTCCAGCCAGTGGAGAACGAGGGGGTGAAGGGTACCGCAGGGCCTGGCTGTTGTGAGGACCACGAATGTGGCTCGGACACGGGGGAGGTGCAGCTTCTGGCCCGGTGTGTCCCGGTGCAGGATCTGCGGGAGTCGTTCCTAACCAGGGAGGCTCCTTGACTGGCAAGCCCTCGGGGAAATGTCCGTTCTATTACATGTACCATTTGTTCGGGAGCTGTTGACAAGAGTGTCCGCTGGGCCAGGCACTGCTCTAGATCGACGCTTGGATTTAACAGTGAACAAAACGGGCCAAGCTCTTGTCCACGTGCTAGGGCAGGAGGGCTTGGGCCAGCATCAGAGGAGACAGTGAGCTGTTTCAGGAGTTGGATGCAGTGGGTGTGGGGCTCTGGGGAGGCCCTGCAAGGGAGACCTGTGGTCAGCTGCCCTTGTCTTGACTGTTGTCAGAAGAGCACGCCTTCGGCACCAACCTGGGGGTTGGGAGGTGCAGCAGCAGCAGTGAGGGCCTGACAAGAGCCCCGGGAGTCAGCAGTGAGGCCTCTCTGGAGAGCAACGAGGTGAAGCTTCTCCTTTCTTGATCTCCCACCTCCCTCCCCTTTCTTGGTGTTGTGGGGGCTGCCTCCTCCGAGAGGGCAAGTCTGGTGACAAGGACTTCGTGCGTGTCAGACACACAGTGTCCTTGGCTGCCCTCCGTGGGCAGCGACCACTGTGAAAGTCACCAAGGAAGCCTGTGTGTGGCCGGTGGGGGGGTTTCCCAGCTACAGTTTTGGGACAGAGGGCAGAGTGGATGCAGCTCCGTTAGCTGTGAGCCCCATAGTGTTAACTTCAAGCACACTTCTTGCCACAGGATTCGGATCATGCCTGTAAAAGTTCGGTTCGCAAGCAAACTAAAAGTTATATGAAGACCAAGAATCGTTACAGCAACAGCGAGAGCCAGTGGCCTCCCAGCACTGGGACTTCGGGGGCAGCCTCTTCTCCAGGATCGATGCCCCAGACCGAGAGGTCCCGCCATTCAGGACCTCAGGTAAGGCCATCTGTGAAGCAGGCACGTAGACCTCTTGTGCTCCGTGAGGCCCGCACTGTGTACTCAGGATGGGCCGGGCACTGTGGAGAGCAGAGTGTGGTGATGGTTTTCCCTCAAATGATCTGGGAAGCTAGGCTGAGAGGAGTCCTAAGGGCTCCAAGTGCCAGTCGTAGGGTTTCTGTTCCATCCCTTTCCATGGGAGGGATCTGTCTCTCCCCTTAGTTTCCATACTTTACTCAGCCTCCCTGAGCCTGGGGCGGAGAAAAACAGGACCAGTCTTAGGGAGCTGCTTTCAGAAGTTTGTGACAAGATGCATATGAAGCAGAGCTAAAGTGGTGCTTAAGGAAATTTGCCATCTCTGTCCTCCTCATTGTGGGTCACTCTGGCTCACCAGCTTCTTAGGGGTGATGGGTCCAGCACAGCAGCTCAACTGTTTATTGACTTCTCCTGCCCTCTGTAGGCGTAAGTAGTACAAAGATGAAAGAGAGAAGTACATTTTTGCCATTTATTAAAGTCACAGCTCTGCTATTCACTAAAAGCCTGCAGTTTTGCTGGCTTCTCCTTGTGGCCCCTCCAGAGAGCTTTCTCGAGGGCCTATGTTTCCAGGCTCAGTGAACAGCTACACCTTTCAACTCCTTAAATACATGTTCATGGGGGAATGGATGGTGGTGGTGGTGGGATCTTAGGCTGTTTCAGAAAGTAGGTTAAGACAAATGGCAGAGTAACGATCTTTGAAAATTTGCTTCTCCTTATTAAAGGCAATAAACTGGCAGAAGTGGTCAGAATAATTTTTTTCAAAACTCTGTGAATCAAGCAAAAGCTTGGAGCAACCTGGAAATGTTCATTCAAGAGAAGTGGCTGAATCCCAAAACTGCAAGCTCTGTAGCACTTCAACTCGCGTTAGTCCCATCTGCACTCCCCAGTGCCAGGGTATCTGTGACAGCCAGTGCAGGGGCTCTTTAGTGCTTCATTCTCAAATAATTGGCATGATGGGATGCATCTGATGACTCCCTAGGAGGCCATGCTTACAAAACTGTGTTTGAGTTGACTGAGAGCCTGTCTACCCAGTATAACAATGTGTGTTGAAAATAATTACAGGTGTATGTTTTAACTTTGCAGCTGCCTGAGGTGTTGGATAATAGTTGGGGCAAATAAGATTAACCACAAAAGCTGAAAAGGAAAAACTGGGGAATGCGATGTCCATAGGAGGTTTGTAAAGCTCTGACATATTCCTGGGAATCTGGGAGGCCACACACTTGCTCAAGGCTGTGTTGTGTGGATGGTCAGGAAAGAAGTGAGAATACATCTGATGGCCTTGAGGCTCTAGCTAGGAGGAAGTAAAGGCTAAGATAGGACTGTCATCTGCCTGGCTGAGTGTTGAAGATATGCCCCAGCCAAGCCTACAGAGCTATGCAGCAAAGAGGGGGAGACTGACTGGTCTCTGGTGTTTACGGAAATCTGTCCAGTCCTTAGCTGACCACTAAGCTAGCCGAGGAGAGACTTCTGTGGCCACATGTGAGAAAGAACACAGACTTTATCAAAAAGGCACTAAACAAATAACTTCTACAACAAGCAGCAGCAACAAGCTGTGGAGAGGGAGGAGAATTCAATCTCTAGAACCACCACATTTAAGATGTCGAATTTGAGGGGCACTTGGCTGGATCGTTTGGTGGAACATGTGACTCTTGATCTTGGGGTTGTAAGTTCAAGCCCCCTGTTGGGTGTACAGATTACTTAAAATCTTGGATATGTCCAAATTTCATCAAAAAGACAAGATGTGCAAAGAAGGAAGTATGGCTCATAGGCCGTAAAAAGTCAACAGAAGCAGTGCCTGAGGATGGCCACTCTGGGACTTAACTGGACAAAGACTCTAGATCAGCTTTTTCAAATACGTCCAGTGAGCTCAAGAAAACCTATCTAGATACAGAGATTATCAATAAAGTGAAAGAAATAAAAACGAACCAAACAGAGATTCTGTAGGTGAAAAGTACAATGACTGAAATGAATGTTTCACAAGAGGGCTCCACAGCAGACTGGAGCATGTGGAAGGCCCCACAAACTTGATGTTGATCAATTGAGATTCTCCCGTCTGAGAAGAGAATGAAGAATGAACAGAAACCCGTGAGACCCCATTAAGCAGCCAGCATATACATAATTGGTGTTCCAGAAGGAGAGGAGGTAGGAAAGAGCACAAAAAAGTGTTTAAGAAAATAGCCAAACCTTCCTACATTTGATCCAAGAAACCGTATGAACCCTAAGTAAGTTAAACTCAGGTCCACAGCTAGGCCTAAAGTAATGAAACTGTCCAAAAACAAAAGGCGAAGCTTGAAGGGAGCAAGAGAGAAGTGAGTCCTTTACACATAAGGAACCCTCCTAAGATTAACAGCTAATTTCCCATCAGAAACCATGGGACCTAGAGGACATTTGATGACCAAATCAGAGTAATGAGAGGAGGAAAACAAAACACCAAGAATGCTATATCCGAGCAAAAACTGTCCTTTCAAAGTGAAAGAAATTAAGATGGTTGCGCAGGCGCAGGTAAACAGACTCCAAGTTTGTTGCTAGCAGACCCGCCCTCCAAGAAGCACTAATACCGTCCAGGCTGAAGTGCAGACAAACGGGCTGAGGCCCTCCGGACCGTCTACTCCGCCTGAGGGCACAGGGAGGGGGCTGGAGCCCTTGGCGCCCGCAGCACCATCCCACTGGGGGGGGTTCCGGGACTGGCGGCACCAAGGAACGCACGCCTGGCAGGAAGGGCCCTGCGTTGCCGCAGTGCCTTTGTAGGTCCCCACCCGCCCTCTGACCCGCCCTGGCTCCTCTGCCCTCCAGGACCTCGCCGCGCTGCTGGAGCAGATTGGGTGTCTGAAGTACCTGCAGGTGTTCGAGGAGCAGGACGTGGACCTCCGCATCTTCCTGACCCTCACTGAGAGCGACCTGAAGGAAATTGGCATCACGTGAGTGCAGAGGGGCCCTTGGTTTCCACTGAGCCTGAAGGGGCCAGCTTAGCTTGCAACGTCCCAAGGCTGCGGTGGAACGAGCCACCCTGTCCAGAAGTCCGCTCGCTCCCTGCAGCCAGCTGGCCTCTCCAGCCCCCCAGGCTGGCCCGGCTGTCCACCTGAGAGCTTCCCAAGGTGGTGGGAGGCCATTCACAGCCTGGCCCTGGCTGGCCTGGGCTCCCTGTTGAGTGAAATCAGCAACAACCAGGCAGGGGAGGCAACCAGGCAGGGGAGGCCAGCCCCAACTGGGGTCACTGCTTGGAACCCTTTGTTTCTGTCATCTGTCCCGGGATCCTGGGGGTCACTCTCCCCCTTCCAAGCTGGGACCTTGCCTAGGGGACCGTCTTGGTGGAAGGACGGTCCGTGGCACCTCTGCACACCCCGCCGATCTGTGTACTTCTCTCAAATTCACCCCTGCAGGCTGTTTGGGCCGAAGAGGAAGATGACCTCGGCCATTGCTCGATGGCACAGCAGCGCCCGTCCCCCCAGCGATGCCCTGGAGCTGGCCTATGCCGACCGGCTCGAAGCCGAGATGCAGGAGCTCGCCATCCAGCTGCACAAAGTAGGTGGGGAGCAGGGGAGGGGCCGTGCAAGAGAGGGGTTGTGGAGACACGGCTGCAGCGAAGGACGAGGAGAGCGAGCAGTGGGGACAAGTACCCAGGGTCAGCAGGGGAAGCAGCCAGGACAGGCGATGGGACAGCAAGGGCAGAAAGCGGCACTGTTCCTGTGCCCGAGGGGAGATGCACGGGCAGGAGCGCAGACGGATCCAGAAGATAAAGGGGGAGGGCGGAGAATGAGCAGCCGGCTCGGACTCCACCACGCTTGGGCAGAGGCGGCTCCATCTGGAGATGGGCGTCCCCATCCTCCGGCCCAGGGGACGGCAGAGCGAGCGAGCCAGGGTCGGGGGCACCCGGCCTCGCATACCCCTGGCTCACTTAGCCACGCGGGCTCCTGCGTCTCGCACGGCAGCGCTGTGAGGAGGTGGAGGCCATGCGAGGCCAGGTGTCGCAGGAGCAGGGGCTACGCGCCGTGCTGGAGAGCTGCCTCCTGGAGCAGGACGGCGCCCGGAAGGACGTGCACGCCCAGCTGCAGGAGACCTGGGCCCTCGCCCGGGACGCTGCTCTCATCCTGGACCAGCTGCGGTGAGTGGGCATCTGAGCTGCCCCCAGGCCCAGGCCAGACCCTGAGTCACCGATGCCTCCAGATTCAACCAAGGGTTTGTTGGTAGGGTCTTTTGGAGTCACTCACTGTCGTCCTCCATTTTGTTCTGGGTCTGTCTGCAGAGCAGACCGAGGCAGCAAACAGGGCCCCGAGAATCTGCACGCTACGTGCAACTCATCCTCTGCCCGGGTCTCAGGCCTCGAGAGCTTGCCGTGAAGGCGGAGCCCCACCTGACACTTAGGGAGGTGGGGGTGTCTGCTGCCCCGCGGGGGCCAGAAAAGGCACTCTTGCCAGGCCTCTCCCTCACCAGCACTTGGCCTTGTGTCTGGCAGAGCCTGTCAAGCTGAGCTGTCAGCCAGAGTGAAGCAGGAGGTGTCTACCCGAGGGTCCCCCCTGGGCACAGCCCTCCCCACAGCTGGTAAGAACAGTGTCCTGGCTCCAGATTACATAGATGCTGCCCTGGGCCCAGTGTTAGCACCTGTTCCAGCAGTTACCACACTGACACTCCACCCCTCCTCTACACCATCCCAGGCTCCAGAGTGAGGGCACCCTGTCACCCCCATTTCCTCCCCATGGTGGGAGGCAAGAGCCCTCGGGCCCTGGCCAACTGGGCTATCCAGGATCTGCAGTGACTTCTGCAGCCTACAGCTGGGGCTGCCCCAGGGCAAGACCTCACTGTAGGCCAGGGACCCTCACACTTTCATTCCTGGGGCTGGACCCTGACAGTGCTTTGGAGAAACAGATGGGAGAACATATTTTGGTATAACGAGGTCACGCAGGAACCAACAGCTGGGTGGGTCCCCTGGTCCCAGCAGCTCAAGACAAAGAGGCAGGAGCTGTGGTGACCACACAGACCCCAGGCCCACCTGGTTCTCTATCCCGCAGACTCCAACGGCTGGCCAGCCTCCCTGCAGGCCCTGAGCCTCCCTGAGCTGTCAGGAGCATTGGAGGATCGAGTCCAGGAAATGGGTGAGTCTCCAAGAGGGCAGCCAGTGGCCTCACCCCCAGCAGGGGCCAAAAGTGGGTGAACAGGGAGAGCCCCGCCTGGTTAGCTCCGACCCCTGGGTCAGCCCTGCCCTGGCCTACTACCCCCACCACCACGCAGTCCTAGGCACCCCCCCCCCCTTCTCACACTTGCAAAGCAGTAACTAACTGCTCCCGTCCTCAGGGCGAGTGCTATGCTCAGTGACCCAGAGCTTGGAGAAGCTGCAAGTGCTGAACGGGAAGGAGAACTGGCGGGAGCCTTAGCTGGGAGGGACGGTGAGTGTCCGCCAGCCCAGGTGCCGGGCTGGGAGAGCAGGGCGCCCTGGGCAGCAGTGAGCTCTCCCTTCAGTCTTCCCTTTCCCTTCTCAGAATCCGACGTTGGGTGACTGATCCACCCTGAAGCTGTGTGCCTGGAAGACAGGAGCGCGGAGAGCAAGCGGCTGCAGCGGGCCAGAGGATCAGGCCCCCGGAGCAGCAAGCAGGACAGGGCTGGAGCCGGGGCGAGGAGCGAGGCCCACACCAAGGCAGGACGAGGGCCTCTAGGCCAGAACCTGGGGGTGAGGCCCAGAGCGGGCAGGGCCACGGGGAGAGAGCGGGTCCCCGTACACCGCAGGTGCCACACGGAGAGGACTGGGCACTTGGGCAGCGTATGTCATTGGCTGGAAAATAAAATGTAAGCTCTGCTGGTAAGGGGCTCCGTTCTGGTCCCACCACATGCAGTGCTGGCTGACAAACCAAAGCCAGGGGCAGGGCAGGCCGAGACCCCCACTTCACTAAACCCACTGGGACCCAGGCCCCCTCAGGACAGAGACCACTGCGTGCAGAGCAGGGCAGACCGCCTGACCCCCTCCTGCGCTGCCGTCCCCTGCATCGAGGGCTGCCTTTGCCCCGAGCCCCATCGAGTCTACAGAAGCAATCTGAAGAGTGATGCACACCCCCAAGCCCCAAGGAAGTAAGAGAGGAACAAGGTACAGGTATTTTATTTACAGAATGAAGTGCCTATGCCCACACGTGCTGGCCACTTCATCGAGGCTCTAAGGTGGAACAAACACTCAGGCTGGGCCGGAGCACAGCTTTCCTTACCAGGCCAATCAGGTGCTATGGAAACTTTGTTAGCTTCATTGAGGAGTCCTTCCGGACATAAGGCCAGTGGTGACCTTCCCGTCTGTGGTGGCTCTGTGGTTGTCATTCTGCACACTCGGCCTGCTTCCACACCATGTCCTGAAGCTGCCTGCAGCCTGTGCTGGGAATGCAGAAAGGGAGGCTTGCAAAGCAAAGCAAAGAGCAGTGAGCTCAGCCCCCGTGTGGCCAGAAGCCCTGAACCAGGCTTGGGGCCCAGAGAGGCCTGAAGCCGGCAGTCCCACAACAACCACAGGGAGGCAGACACCACCTCCCCTTGGGACAGGAGGCCTGTATCAGCTCCACACTGAATGGAGCCCCAGCACTCTTGCACGTGGCTCCCGCCCTTAAGTCCCTGGGTAGTGGGAAAAACCCCACCACCACCACCCCCCGCCCGGTGCACCCAGCCCCAGGCCTGTGGCTGGGACCAGAGAACACAGAGCAGCTGAGAATGGACTTTCCTGTCCTTTCTTTTTCAACAGCTCCAGCTCGGCCTCATGGCCCCAACTAACCTTAGGGACCAAGCCCCAGTGGGGTAAAGGGGCTTCAAAGCCTCATTCCCAGTTCACACACCATAGAAAAAATTGAGGCTAACCACCACCAAAAGTGAGCCAGCTCTTCTCTCAGCCCTGGGGCCGGCTGGTGACAGGACTCAAGGCATGCTCCACAAGAATAAAACTGACTTCTCGATGGTCTTTGTGTGTCTACCTACCTACCTGAATGAATGGGGGATACCTCCACCCACCCAAGTCGCATGTGGAGAGTTTGCATCTTGGGGTAGGAGAAAATGTCCTGAGCCTGGAAAGCCAGGCCACCTACTGAGCAGGGTGGGCTCCCAGTAACCCAGCCACCACCCAGTAGCTGCTCAGGGTAGCGGAGAGGAGTTGTGAACACACACAGGAGGAGATAGTCTCCTAGGAGTTCAGGGCACAGAACCAGGGGAGGGTAAGAGACATGCCGCACAGACAACCTCAGGAGGAAGACGGGAGGAGCTTCTCCAGCGCTTTCTTCTGCTTCTCAGTGGCAGCGGCCAAAGCCTCAGCTAGTTTCTCTTCGGGCATCATGTTGAGCACCTTGAGAGCGAAGAGCAGCTGGTACTTGGCGGTGCTGGTAAAGGCGTTGCTCAGGAAGTTGGGAAAGCCACCAACTCGGTCCTTTTGGGTGTAAAGTGGGACTCGCACAAGCCCCAGCACCTGCACAGAGAGACCAGAGTGGGATCAGGCCCCCACACCAATGGTGCAGCCCTAGCAGGAGGAGCCTGTGAGCTGCTAGGCCAGGGGAAGGGCAGCCAGGTTGCCAAGGCTGTAATGCGAGACCCGGGCAGGGTCTGGTGAGGCAGAAGCCAGCCGTACCCTTGGAGCAGTGCAGCCCCTCTACTCTCCAGGCAAGTTTCAAAGCTGACCCCATGCACCCATGACCACCCTTTGCACTCTCAAGTCCCAGCTCCCATCCCCTGGCACAAAGCCCCCCAGTTCATACCCCATGCTCCCCCTTCCACAGGTGAATCCCAAACATCCCAAGTATGACTCCCAGCCCCTCCAGACTATAAAAACCCAGACCCTAAGAGCCTTCATCACCCCAACCCTGAGATCCCAGCCCATGAACCCGCCCTAGTTTCCCACCTCCCCAGAAGGTACTACCCCATCCCATCCTCCCACCGATCCCACTCCCCGCTCCCAGGATTGGCAATGGCAGGCAGCAAGGCAGATGGAACACAGCCCCGAGGGAACCCCCAGCCCCGGGCCCCTCGCTCCCACACCTGCCCCCACTTCCCTCTCCCCACCCCGATGCTAGAGACAGCGACACCCCACCCAGCCCGGCCAGGGGACCCTCAGGGGGACGTGTTACCCATCGGTGCCTTCCACGGAGCCAGAGCCAAACCCTGGGGCGGGGGGCGGGGCCCGGGCGGCGGCCCCACCTCCAGGCCGTGGTCGCGCGAATGTACCGCGCTGATCTCCACGGCGTGCAGCTGCTCCAGCGTCAGCTGCCGTGCGTACAGGTGCGCCACGACGCGGTGCGGGCCCTCGGTCAGGTGAGAGCTCAAGTAGTCGGCCTCCGTGAGGCGCAGGCAGCCTAGGCCCAGGCCCAGCACCCGGTTCAGACCGTCCTCCAGAGACCAAAAGCGCCGGTCCACGAAGCCCCCGGGAAAACCCAGTAGCCCGTCGAAGCGCATCTGCATCTGCAAGGGAGGGCCGAGTCACGGCGCGCGGGGTGCGAGCGGCGCCCCGTCCCCCGCCCGCCCACCCACCCGCGTCCTCACCAGCACCGAGAAGCGCATGGGGATGCGGCCGAAAAGCTGCCCGGGGTTGGCGGCGTACAGCATGGCGTGGCACGAATGGCTCCAGCCCGGCCCCAGGCGCATAGCCTCCACCCGGCTGATCTGCTTCAGCTCCGGCACCGCCGCCGACATCTTGACACTGCCCCGCCGCGGCAGGGGCACCGCTCCTTAAGTGCATGCGCGGGCCCGCCCCCGCCAGGCCCGGCCAATCCGAGGGCGGGCTCGCTCTTAGGTCCGCCCCTCCACCAATTGCCGACGCCCATCGGGGCCGAGCCCTTCCCGGCGCTCCGTCGCGTCGTTGAGGCGCAGAAGGGGCGTGTGCAAAAGGAGGGGCTGCGCGCGCCCCCGCCCACGGCCCTCGAGAACCAGGACGCCCAGGAGGCACCGCGCCCGGGCTGAGCTCTCCCGAACGAGCGGGGCCTCGGGGCCCTCGGGCGGGCGCTGCTTCCGGGCTGGGGGCTCCCGACTGCCCGCAACGAGTCCTATGCCTTCCCCCAGTGCCTCCCTGGGAGCGCCGCCCCGCAGGCTTCACATTACCAGCCCCCGCCTCGCTCCCCGGCCGGCGCCTCCCCCAGGAGGGCTCCGCGGAGCCCCGCACCGGAGGTTACGACCCTTCCCTGCACACGCGCCAGCCAAGCACTCCCATCTAAGGTCACTGACGGTCAGTCCGACTCCAGAAGAGCAAGGAAAGCAGGGCCCGGCAGAGCTCCGGCTGTCCCCACAGTCCGTGTCCACGCACAACCCCTGGGGCTCCTAGACCCATCGTGCTGGGGGAGGAAGTACCTTAAATCCGAGCCCAGCATCCCAAGTATCCTCCCAGTCAGACACAATGCCAGGTTCGGGGGGAGGAAATGGGGTCTCCATTTACCAAGGAGAAACTTGGGACACAGAGGAACAGGACTTGCCTGAAGGGCGCCCAGCAGTTGGTGCCAGAGCCAGGATCCCACCCTAGATTCCCACCATGTCTCCTCCCGTGTCCTCAACAGAAGACCTCCCAACTTTCACAAAGGGGGCCTGAAGTACTTACCCCGTGTCTGCGGGAGAAGCAAGTCGCTGGGGCTCGGGAACACGGGAAGCAAGTGTCCAAGAGGGAGCCCTGGGGCTCCTTGGAATCCTGCAATGGGGCCACTCACTCCACTGGTTGGCCCAAACTCCATTCCCCTCCCACAGTGGGCACGGATTTAATGAGTGAAGGAACTGCCACCTGCACTCACAGGATGGGCGCCCCAGCCACAGCCTCGGAGAACTGCATGCAGTGAGCGAGGGCAAGCGCTGTGGCAGAGAAGGCTGCCCTGAGCAGGGCTGAGGAGAGGAGAGCAGGGGCAGAGGGCGGGCAAGGGGTTGGTAGGACCCACTAGACACTCGTTCACACAGTGAGTCTGTGCCGGTACTCTCAGAAATGGGGAATAAGGATCCAAAGAGGCAGGCTCTGTCCCTAGCCATGGCCTCTCCCGGGGTCAGGACTCAGAAGGGGCAACCACAACTGGCAGGGAGGAGCCAGATTCCAGGGCAAGCAACCGTGTCTGAAGAGAGGTCAGCGAGGGGAAGGGCCCATCCTGAAACAACCACATCTCCAGGCCACAGGCGGCCACGTCTCCATGACCCAAACCCAGGGCTGGGGGAAGGGGGAAGTAAGGGGGCACAGAGGAAAGGTACCCCATGCCCCCAACCCCTCCCTGACACAAGATGTTAACACAATTTCTGGTCCGTTGGCAAAAGAGGGAGATCCAGCGCAGCCCATGCAAGAACTCGTCTGACATGGAACACCTTTCCACCCACCCTGGGACCATGCCAGACCCAAACATGACAGCCGCTGCAGGGCTGAGGGTGGTAGGCCTGCCCCGGGGCATGCTAGCTGAGAACAATGCTCTCACCAGTAAGCACTGAGTCAGAGGGGACCTGAGGAGGCAGAGTGGGGCCAGTGCTGCCTGGGAGCTCTGGGGCACTAGAGCCTTTCCCTACTGGGAGGCCGCCTGCAGGGCAGGGAAGCCAGCAACCAAACCTGGCCCTCTAATCCATTCCACACGACAGCTGTGGAGAGTTGCTGCCCTGTGTAAAAACCTCTGACTGTTCTCAGAATAAAACTGTCCCTACAAGGTCCTGAGGCATCTGCACCCCACCAACACTCCTCGATTCTGGCGCTCCAGCAACGGGAGCCACTAGGGCTTCTTTCTGCTCAGGGGTCATACCAGACTCACTCTGGCCCCAGGGCTTTTGTCGGCACCAGCAGGGCTCAGCTGAAACGCCCTTCAGAGAGGCCCGCCTCCGCCACAGGTTAAATCAAGTACTCCATGCAGCTCCACCTTGTCACCAGCGACTCTTCCAACAGTCACCCAACCTGGGAAGATTCGGATTACTTGCACAGTGTCCCAGTGCCTAGAACACAAACTCCCGGGGCTGGGGCCATGCGGGTCTGGGCCCCCTCCAGCCCCAGCACGGTAGGTGCTCAGTAAATATCTGAGGGAGCGATTGGCAGTGAAGACGGGGATTGCTCCGCCGCTCAGAAGACGAGCCCCGTCCCCAGAGTCCACTTCACTCCAACCCAGAATCTGCACGACGGCCACAGTTGTAACAAACAGCAGCTTGCGCACCTCACGTACCGCCTCACGTACCGCCTCACGTACCACCTCATGCGCTCTCGCCCTCTTGGAAGTCACGTGCCACTGACAACTCGCGCACACGGACGTGCTCACGCTGCGGTGGCGGCGGCCAGAGCTGCCCGGAGCCGCTCCGCCGTCCTGCCTCCAGAACAAGCAGCAGCTGAAGTCCCTCGGTGCAATGCGCAGAGGAAGGAGCGGACAAGATATTGCTGCATGATTTTATTACTATAAATATACAGTAAAAACGAACAGAAACTAGCCAATCAGAGTACATCAAATGATAGCACATGTAAGTCCAAGACAGGCCAGTCTGCATCCTGGCCTTCAAACAGAGCACTGGCACCAATACCAAGGGCCTGTCGCCGGGGTTGGCAGTTCGGGAGCAGAAAGGGGAGGGAGGGAAGGAGGGAGGCAGCCAGGCTGTGTGCGCGCTGGCATTCGCCCAGGCTTGAGCGCACAGCAGGCAGCAGGGGAGAGCAGGGGAGGGCCAGGGAGGGCCGTGGAGGGCAGGGAGTCAAGTGGCTGGGAAAAGATGGCCTGCGCATGGCCAAGAGCTATGTCTAGGGCAGCGCTCTGTTCACAGGCTCAACTGGAGAGAAGACGAGTCCTCTACTGCTGGATTCTCTCCTGAGCATCCTGTGGGGCGAGCCACAGGGAGAGTGCCGGGGCGGGGGCCAGGGCTTTGCACACACAGGCCAGCTGCCCCAGAACCGTCCTTCCCAGGGCAGCCCCTCAGAAAGTGCGCTGCGCTGCACCCCCCACCCCAGACCAAGACAGTGTTCCCACCTCGGGGAGCTGCACAGACCCAACCACCTGGCTCAAGGTCCCTGCTGGGCAGCTGTCACCCTGGGCCACCAGGGCTGGATGCCCCCTTTGCCTTGCTGTTGCCCAGAAAGTTTTGCTTTAAAAAAAAAAAAGACGAGGTCACCTTAGATGGGATCTGCCATGTGCGTCCCCCAGGCAGTCCACTACAGGGACCCCAGACAGAACAAGTCAAAGAGAAACCAAGGGACACTTCAGTGGCCAAGAGGGAGCAGGGAAGCTGCTCAGATCCCTCCCTGGGGCAAGTGGGCAGCAGCTAGCCCAGCAGAAGCCCCTGCACCTGCAGGGACCTGCCATGTGAGCAAAGCCGCTTCAGAGAAGGCGCAGGGCCGAGAGAGGGGCCACAGGTCTCTGTCTGCTGCCTCTGCCCCTGCGGCAGACCCAGCCCCCAGCCCCCAGGGGGAGGGGGAGCTGTGGGAGGCAATCCGCCTCCCCCCCCACACTCCGCCGGACTGGACCAGGAAGGGGAAGCAGCAGCAGAGGGTGCGAGCAGCAAGAGCTGGGCTGCCAAGGACACAGGCGCACATGGGGCAGGGGACAGGCACTGTTTCCTTCACTGACCATGACTCAGTCCCCACTTCCTTTCCTCCTCGGCCAACAAGGTCCCTATAACATCTCCTGTGAAGATACCACCTCACCCACCAACACACTTTTCTTCAGAGAATTTGTGAGTTCTTGGGATGTCAAGTCCCCAGTAGCTAGGATGCTGCAAGAAGCTGGTCCAGGCTGCACAGGGGTGGTCAGGCCCCAGTCCCAGCCACTTAGCCAATGGGGCGTTTGGGGGAAACCCCAGAGCTGAGAGCCCAGAACAGAAAGCTGCCGTCCTTCATCTTGTACCATTTACAAATACATCAACTGTAGAAAAAGGAATTTGTCAGAGGAGACAGTCCACTGTGCTCTTCAATCAAGGGTCGTGTGGCCCCTCAGAACCAGTGGCCACGCAGAGCGTGCAAGACAGGAGAGGCCAGGGGTCACGCTGGAATCCGGTGGCCCCTCAGCAAAGTCTGGGGAGCTAAGGGCTCCATGCTGCCAGCCTGGCCAGGCTCTCAGAGTGGGGTCAGCTCAGTGGCCCCAGGGTCAGGACTGGGGCCACCGAGCACAGGCCAGGGCGGGCCAGTGGTACGGAGGCTGTGGGGCGTCTCCATGGAGGTGGACCATCCTGCGGGCAGGAGCAGAGGGCGAAGCGGTCATGGGTGGCCGAGTCACCCACCTCACCCATCAGGCTCAGTTTTCACCAACCATGAGCCTCCCACAGAGGGCAGGGCCACCCAGAGACCTGGAACTCCAGCCCCAGGAGAGTAAGGAGGAGTCTCTCTCTCTTGGAGCACATCCCAGGCAACAGCACCAGCTGATGCCCCAGAACAGAATGCAACGGGGCGCCGTGGGCTCCCGCCTCCTGGGGTCTCCTCGCTCACCTCCTCCCTCTCCCAGTCCCTGCTTCCTGGGATCTGACCAGCTGTTGTCCTTCACTACTGAATTATACCAGGACTCAGTCAAGCCCAGGCAGAGGGGGAGTGGACTTGGACCTGGGGGCATCTCTGCGCTCAGAGCAGCCCCCGGAGTCCCACCCTGCCTTCTTCAGGGGCCTTTTCCGCCATGATCACACTGTTGCCTCACAATGCCATGAGGCGCTCTGTCCCTGGACTAAGTGTGTTCCCCAGGGCGCTGGTGCTGGAGCTGTGACCCGGGCCTGCAGCAGCGAGTACCAGCAGGACTGTCAGACCTGCAGAGG